TCTTTCTGATCAATTTATTTGTTATGCACAAACCTTGCTGATATGGACAAACTTTATAGATATTATGAAAAGAACTTAATTTTAAACATAAGCGTTTTAATCACAATAAAGAAAGTGTAAAGGTTAAAAACCTCCAATTTACCATTCTCATAAGAGCAAACTTTTCCTAACGTGTACTTTATAAAAAGGTGGAACTTGGAATGAAATCACGAGTAATTTTAGACTATTACAAAATTTGCAAGCTACTTTTGATATCACTTAATCAGTCTGGATGAGAGCACTTTAAACCTTGTTGTAGATTTATATTTATGTCTACTCTTACTCTCTGAAGTATTAGGCAAAGAGATATTTATTAAGACAACTATGGTTAATAATTCAACAGCTAACTTCTATTACTTACTCATCAATCTAACGATAGAAGCCGTCTTCGTGAGAACAAAAAATGGTATTCCTGTTCCAACCACCGAATGAATGGCTTTAGTTATGTTGCATGAAAATGGACGTTAGAAAGTAACTTAATAGCTTTTCCTATTTTTTTTTCCAATTTCTTTCACTATGCAGTGTCCTAATGAAAATTAGTTTTGTATTTCTGTATTCTTTACTAGATTGAATTCAGCTGGGTTTTTGTTTTTCCTCAGAATTCATCCTCTTTTTTTTTAATTCGATTACTATACTATCGCTCAAACGTTGTAACAGGATTATTGCTAGATAAAATAATAAGACTGCAAAAACTGAGTGTGTTCGTACTTAGTATATTTTATTTTGTGGTTTCACAAAAAAAACAAAAAACTTTCATGTTCCCTTCAAATATTTAAAAATCGATGTAAAAAATAAAAACTTTTCTATCCTAGTTGTAAGCCAAAATCCCTTTATTTTTTCATCACTGCCATATTTTTCTGCATTCTTTTAAGAAGTTAAAACTTCAGAGAACAAATCAATTTTCATGTTAACTTGTTCGTTTGTTTGCGGCAAAGCTACTTAAGACTATCTGCCGCCGTCCCTAATTTTGAATTACCAACCATAGGAAAGGCGACGGCAACACCCACTGTCAACTCTTAGGCTATTCTTTACCAACGAATAATGGGAATGATCGTCACATTATAACCCCCTCACGACTGAAAAGCCGAGCACGAGTGGGGCCGGAGTTTCGATCCTGAAACCTGCAGATTGCGAATCGAACGCCCTAATCAGCAGGCCTCTCATGTTAATTTAATAAAACTTTTGGAATTGTGTGCACACACCAACGTACCTTTGGATCAAATATTTGTCAATGGAAATTTCATATAGTTTTTACTGATTAAATATTCATTCAAGTGTTGTTAATGTTACATATTATAAAAGGTTATTCATATCATTACAAAGTAGACTTGGCCTCAGTATTTGAACAAGATAAAATAATTCAACCAGTGCCAAACTGAATATATATTATACGTGCTACTGGATTTGTTTTCATCACACTTTATTAGATAACTAGCGTAAAAGCCCGTCAAAAATGACGGGAAATTACTGAAAACCAAAACTATTCCATATAAAACTGGCAATACACAAAAAGAAATATAAAATTTCCTCTCCCAGGAACATGTTACATGTTGCTCCTGAATCTACTACATATAACTGAGCAATCATGCTACATATTGATACCTTTGGATAAAAGATTATAACACGATGACCTTGTGATTGCATACACACCTGTTCTTATTCTGAGGAAAAGTCGTCCTTTTCCATACAGATAATTGATATCTTTAGTCTGTTTTAACAAAAAAAAAAAAATTCGTAATGATTCTCAAGCATATATTTGCGCTAATTTTTTATTTATTTTTCACAGAAGTTTTCTTATTCAGATCCTACCTAGTTTGACATCATAATGAAGTGGTGTCACATATAACGTCATGCCTGATCTGGTCCTAGGAACTCCCTTCTTGGCAGGCTTTTATGTAGCATAAAAAGTGCCAACGTTTAGGAGCCACTTACGCCCGAGTTAGCGATTAAATTCAATTACAATATGAACGGGCAAACAAAATGGGGGAAATATTATAGAAGAAAAAGTGAAATTGGACTCGTGTACCTCAAGAAATTCGGAGAATTCGAGTGTGACCGACCGATCGACACTTGGCTTTTATATATATTGGTGGCTAAAAAGTTTTAGGATTTGCTATAATTTTTTTACTTATAATACTCTTAAGGAAATACAATCTCGCCGTGTTCTATTTTAGCAAGAAAATTTTGAAAAACATGGGACTTCGAAATTACCATGTATCGATGCTTGACACACTGACGTATCTCTTTATAAATTCAAAGATCTTTTTTATTACTAACTAGCATCACCACAACGCACCTGTCATCATTTCAAAGTGTCCTTTAAAATAAAGCTCAACTTGTTGCAATTTGCATATTTATACATTATCTGTTAGTTGTTATAAACAGTTAAACATCATTTGACCTTAACTTTTGACATATTAGCCACATATATCAATGGTATCTACACAGTACATTACGAATTTGAGATTTAAGTAACCTGTGAAAAAAAAACAAAAAAAACGTTCACACAACGTTGACAATACTGAAAAATTTAATAGAGAAAAATTGTAACAAAAACCATTAAAATTTACTTTTTATACTTATTTCTTGTAATATTTTTGTTTTATTTAAGAGTATCATACTGTCCAGAAGTGATCAAAACAAAAAAAAACTTCCAAATATTTGCCTAGTTAAACTTCAAATTTTTGTAAAATATTTCATTATTATGTGACTTTGAACAAACAGTTCCATCTTTATTGAGATCAGCTACTCTTGGCCACGAGATTGATATATCCAAATTTAGAGTGAGTACTGCTTGAAAGCTAACTGTTACACATCAGTTTTACTTGAAAATAAAAATTTCTAATCAAAAGTAAACTGTAGACATCAAAATTTAAAAAAATAAAATAACTTTTAATAATGTAATTTTTTTAAAACCAATTGATTACAAATATGCAATTTCATAAAAGATCTTCACAAGCTTGTTTGTCATGATTAGTGATATTCAAGACTTATATTTATGTTAACTTTTCCATTTCCTTTTAATTTATTCCTTTTGTACATGTTCCAAGTACATTTAATACTGGTGGTTTACCAAATTAGTTTTACTCTACATTTTTATCGAAACTTTTTCTGTAATTTTCTGTTTGAAGAGTACAATCAATGTGAAAACGTTTCTCTTAGCATCCCAGCTTTGTAGGTTGTGGATGCTACAATTAAAATTTGTAGGTTAATCCATTTCTTTAAAGTAGTTTGTGCATGTAGATTTTCACAATTCAAATTAGTGTTCCAATTTAAGTGGGAATACATTAAATACTGTGGTTAAGGTAAAAGATCTTAGCGTTGTGATTGAAAAAATCACTTAAGTCATCTAAACAGTGCACTGTTTCTAGTAATAGGGCTAATAGGATTTCGGGTAGCATCTGTAGAATACTGAATACAAGACAAGGGATGTTATTGTTTCACTGTATAGATCACTTGTAAGACCTCATTTAGAATACTGTAAAGTTTTTTTTGGTGTACAAAACTTGAAGATAGCTTTTATATGTGGAAACATCTGTTCTAATAAGCGATTTTGTAACTTGTTTTCAATTTTCTTAAGAAATAAGAGTGTGAAAGAAAAGAATTTACCATATCGCTCCTGTAAAACAAAAGTTCTACCACCAAAATGTGAATCAGTGATTGGCCAGCATTTACTAGTCAACCCGACTTGTGCTGACAACTACACAGATAGCAGGTTTAAAATTATTGCAAATAGTCTGTCAACCTTTCATCTC